ATCTGGATATAAGCTTTCTTAACTGCCTTGCAAATACTTTCTTCCACCATGTGGCTTGTCCTCTCATGCTCTTTATGGTAACTTTTGATAAATGAAAGGTCTTGATGTAGCTAAGATCATAAATCTTATGAGGTAAGTCATGAGATATTCTCCTATACTTCAAAAAGATATCTAGTTCTTTCCCATTTAGGTATTTAGTTAACATGGAATTAATTTTTATGTATGATGTAAGATCTAATTTCACTTCTTCTACATAAAGACACAACTCTATAACATTACTAATGTAAAATTTTTTCTTTTTACACTACCTTCAATGTCATAAATAGATCAAATATACATATATACATTGGTCTGTTTCTAGAATTTCTATTATATTCCACTGGTTTATTTGCCTATCCCTGGGGTAATAATATATAGCTTTATTTATGTTAGTTGTTTTCTTTTTTTTTTGTAGAGACAGAGTCTCACTTTGTTGCCCTTGGTAGAGTGCTGTGCCATCACACAGCTCACAGTGACCTTCAACTCCTGGGCTTAAGCTATTCTCTTGCCTCAGCCCCCCCAGCAGCTGTGACTACAGGCACCTACCACAACATCCAGCTATTTTTTGGTTGCAGTTTAGCTGGGGCCGGGTTTGAACCCACCACCCTCAGTATATGGGGCTGGCGCCCTACTGACTGAGCCACAGGCCCCACCCTATTTATGTTAGTTTTATTTATTTACTTTATTTTTTGAGACAGAGTCTCATTATGTCGCCTTACGTAGAGTGCCGTACTGTCACAGCTCACAGCAACCTCAAACTCTTGGGCTTAAGTGATTCTCTTGCCTCAGCCTCCCGAGTAGCTGGGACTACAGGTGCCTGCCACAACACCCAGTTACTTTTGTTGCAGTTGCCACTGCTGTTTCAGCTGGCCAGGGCCGGGTTCAAACCCACTACACTTGGTACATGGGGCCAACGCCCTACCCACTGAAGCAGAGGTGCCACCCTTGCTTTCCCATTCTTGTGATTCTTTACTAAAGAGAATGTTCTCTCTGGCTCGGCGCCTGTGGCTCAAGTGGCTAAGGTGCCAGCCACATACACCTAAGGTGGCAGGTTCAAATCCAGCCTGGGCTCGCCAAACAACAAGGACGGCTGCAACCAAAAAATAGCTGGGCATTGTGGCAGGCACCTGTGGTCCCAGTTACTTAGGAGGCTGAGGCAGGAGACTTGCTTGAGCCCAAGAGTTGGAGGTTGCTTTGAGCTGTGATGCCACAGCACTCTACCCAGGGGGATAGCTAGTTCTGTCTCAAAAGAAAAAAAAGAGTACGTTCTCCAACTCTATCCAGTTTAATACAAAAGATACAAAAGTGCTCATCTTTTTTTATGGCTGAGTAGTATTCTATGATATATATATACACCACAGTTTGTGACTCCATTCCTTTGTTGACAAGCATTTAGGTTGTTTCCACGTCTTGGCAATCGTAAACTGAGCTGGGATAAATAATCCAGTGCAAATGTCCTTATGATAAAATTATTTTTTCTTTTAGGCAGATGCCTAGTAATGGAATTGCAGGATCAAATGAAAGGTCTATTTTGAGTTCTTTGAGGATTCTCCATACTTTTTTCCAAACAGTTTATGTCAGTTTTATAATAAATCTTGATAGCTGGTAGAGCAAATCCCCCCACCTTGTTCTTTTTAAGAGTTTCTTGTCGGCTCTATGCCTGCAGCTCAAATGGCTAGGGCACCAGACACATGAATGGGAGATGGCAGGTTAGAACTCAGCTAGGACTGCCAAACAATGCAACTACAACCAAAAAATAGCTGGGTGTTGTGGCAGGCATCTGAAGCCCCAGCTACTTGGGAGGCTGAGGCAAGAAAATCACTTAAGCCCAAGAGTTTGAGGTTGCTGTGAGCTGTAATGCTATAGTACTCTACCAAGGGCAAAATAATGAGACTCTGTCTAAAAAAAAAAGAGAGAGAGAAATATATATAGAGAGAGTTTCTTGTTGTTCTTTAGCTGGGCGTGGTGGCTCATGTTTGTAATCCTAGCACTTGGGAAGCCAAGGCGGGTGGACTGATTGAGCTCATGGGTTTGAGACTAGCCTTAGCCAGAGCAAGACCTCATCTCTAGAAAAAAATAAAGAATAGCCAAGTGTTGTGGCAGGCACCTGTAGTCCCAGCTACTAGGGAGGCTGAGGCAAGAGAAGTGCTTAAGCCCAAGAGTTTGAGGTTGCTGTGAGCTATGACGCCATGGCACGCTACTGAGGGTGACAAAGTAAGACTGTCTCCAAAAAGAAAAGTTTCTTGTCTTTCATTTATTTATTTGGGGGAGGGGAGTGTTCCCTGGGAAATTCAGCCAATGTGTAATATAGGAAAAAAAAATCTAGTCTTCCTATCCACGAATACTTATTTAGGTTTTTTACAATATTTTAAGTTACTTTTTTTTTGAGACAGAGTCTCATTATGTCGTCCTGGGTAGAGTGCTGTGGCATTACACCTCACAGCAACCTCACAGCTGGACATTGTGACGGGCGCCTGTAGTCCCAGCTACTCGGGAGGCTAAGGCAAGAGAATCATCTAAGCCCAGGAGTTGGAGGTTGCTGTGAGTTGTGATGCCATGGCACTGTACCAAGGGTAACAAAGTGAGACTCTGTCTCAAAAAAAAAAAAAAAACCAAAACAAAAAACACACACACACACAAATAGATTGTCTTTAAATAGAAACACTAATGAAAATACAGGAAGGCTGCCAGGTTCAGCAGCTCAAGCCTATAATCCCAGTGCCCCGTAAGGCCAAAGTAGAAGGACAGCTTGAGGCCAGGAATTTGAGACCAACCTGATGCAACATAGCAAGACAATTTCTACAAAAAATACAAAAGATTAGCTTTGTCACGGCTACTTGGGAAGCTGAGGAAGAAGAATTACTTGAGTCCAGGAGTTTCAGGTTGCTACTGCACCAACAACTGGTCTCAAAAAAAAAATTAAAGTTAAAAAATTTGTACTTTGGGAGGGTAAGGCAGGTGGACTGCCTGAGCAGAAGAGTTCGAGACCCTGCCTCTAAAAAATAGCCAGGCGTTGTGGTGGGCACCTGTAGTCCCAGCTACTCAGGAGGCTGAGGCAAAAGAATCACTTGAGCCCAACAGTTTGAGGCTGCTGTGAGCTGTGACACCATGGCACTCTAGCTGCTTATATTATTATCCTTTTCTTATGGTCTGTAATATCTGTAATAATTCCCACCTCTTACATTCCAATACTATTTGTTCATGCTTTTTCTCTTGTCTTGATCAACCTCATCTAGAATTTTTCAATTTTGTTTTTTAAGAGACAGAGTCTTGCTTTGTCATTCAGGCTGGAGAGTAATAGAGGGATTAAAGCTCATTGTAGTACTAAACTCCTACACTGAAGAGATCCTCCTGCCTCAGCCTCCCAAGTAGACGGGACTATAAGTGCAAGCAACAATGCAACTACCAATTTTATTTTCTCAAACAGCTAGTATTTCAGATGGGCAGGGTGCTACAGATGGCTCACTCCTGTAGCGCTCTGGGAGGCCGAGGCTGGGAGATCCCTTGAGATCGGAAGTTCAAGATGAGCAAGACTGAGACCCCCATCTCTATTTAAAAAAAAAAAAAAATCAGGTGGGCATTATGGTAGGTGCCTGTAGTTCCAGCTACTTTGGAGGCTAAGGCAAGAAAAGACCCTTTGAACCCAGGAGTTTGTGGTTGCTGTAAACTAGGCTGAAACCACAGCACACCAGTCTGGACAACAAAGTAAAGCTGGGTCTCAAAAAACAAACAAAACCTCCTACTGTTTCCTTTGTTGAACTCTTTTATTGTGTGTTTGTTTACTCTTGTGATTATTTTTCCATTATGGTAAAATACATAAAATTTAGTATCTTAACCATTTTTAAGTGTACAGTTTGGTGGCAATATGTACATTCAAACTGTTATGCCACCATTAGCACCATCCACATCTCCAGAACTCTTTGCATCTTGCAAAATTGAACTCTATGCCCATTCAAAAATAGCTCCCCATTCCAGACCCCTACCCTAGCCCCTGGCAAATACTATTCTACTTTCTGTCTCTATGAATTTGACCACTCAAGGCATCTAATTCTATATTTCATTAGTTTCTGCTCTTATTTTATTATATGGCTTCTTTCTTTAGTTGATTTGCACTTCTTTTCAAATTTCTTGAGACGGAAACTTAGCTCATTTTTACAGCACTTTTATGTTCCCTTGCAAGTATTTTACATATGTTAGCCTAGTTAGTCTTCACAACATCTCTAAGAGACAAGCTATTGCTCTCACTTGACCACTCCACGAAGTGGCAGATCCAGGACTTAACCCAGGCAACCAAATTCCAGAGCTTGCATTCGTTGTTTTTTTCTTTTCTTTCTTTCTTTCTTTCTTTTTTTTTTTTTTTTTGAGATAGTCTCACTTTGTTGCCCTGGGTTGAGTGCTGTAGCTTATAGCAACCTCAAACTGTATCTCAAAAAATAAAAACAAACACATAAAAAAGCAATTAAAAACAGAAGCACTAGTCAGAAAGAAGCATATCATGGCCAGAGAGCATCATCAGGAGAAAGATTAAGTGGTGCTTTAAAAAAAAAAAAAAAAGAAAAGAAAAGAAAAAAGAGGGCAGCACCTGTGGCTCAGTGGGTAGGGCACCAGCCCCATATACCGAGGGTGGGAAACTCAGCCCCAGCCAAACTGCAACAACAACAACAAAAAAAAATAGCTGGGCATTGTGGCGGGTGCCTGAGGCAAGAGAATTTCTAAGCCCAGGAGTTGGAGGTTGCTGTGAGCTGTGTGACGCCGCAGCACTCTAAGAAAAAGGAAGAAGAGTTTCAAAAGAAAAACATGTATATTATTAGCAGGAAAGTTACAATGAACTAGTTAGGCAAATATCCTTAGATCTTCAAGCATGTTCAACTATTAGAGTTCTTAGTAATGAGTAAAAAGGGGAAACTAAAAGTCCAAATATTTTAAGGTTAGATCATACAGAGCAATAAAAATTTACTTACTTCACTAGAGCAGCTGCTTCAGGAAGTACATCAGCAAACGATTCACGGAATATGATTGCATTTTTCCTCTTACAGTTCTGTATGACATCATTGGCAAGGTAAAAGAGATTCAAACGGTGGGGATATGCAGCTAGAGATAACAAACAAAAGACAATAAATAAACGAAATGAGTTGATTTATACTTAGTTCAACTTATTCCAAAACAGTGTTCTCAAACTGTTACTGCTTTTTTACATGGATATAAACAGTGGAGGTAATGACATAGAAAGAAGGAAGGGTGGATAAACAAGCTCAACTTGCTGTGAAAACACAAAAATACAATCAGAATGTCACTTCCAGCAAGTCCTTGGCATTACTATTATAGATAGATCCATTCCATCACCTACCCCAAATACTACTCAGATATACATAAAGTCTTCCCTTCTGCATCTGCTGGAAGGGAGGCTCTGTTCCATCACTAGGTAAAATAATATAATCCCATGTAAACAAGTAGGTTAAGCTTTTCAAAGGCCCATGACAAAGCCCAATCAATTTACTACCTAGAACCTTGAGCAAAGCTAACTCAAGTATCATTATTAGTCAGGACAATTATCTTCTCTCAAAACATGAATTCATACATAAAACCATCCATGTCCATTTACCTAGTAAAAAAGTGTCACTCCTAATTAATGAAGAGTAACCTCTCCACTGGGTACTGTGTTTCTTAGCTCCTCTTGACTCTTTGGGAACCATATACCATTAACTATCCTTGCTTCTTATATTGAAATTTTATCTTCTTATAAATTTTTATTTTCTTTAGCACTTTCACCTCTAATTTATGTATATATATGTATGTGTGTGTGTGGCTGAACACACACACACACACACACACACACACACACACACACATATATACTTTTTTCTTTTGGAGACAGAGCCTCAAGCTGTCACCCTGGGTAGAATGCCGTGGCATCACAGCTACACAGCAACCTCCAACTCCTGGGCTCAACTAATTCTCCTGTCTCTTGCCTCCCAAGTAGCTGGGACTACAGGCACCTGCCACAATGCCCAGCTATTTTTTGATTGCAGCCTTCATTTTTGTTTGGCAGGTCCCGGCTGGATTCAAACCCACCAGCTCAGTGGTATGTGGCTGGCGCCTTAGCCACTTGAGCCACAGGCACCGAGCCCATTTAATAAATCTCTTAAGTCTAGCTAATTTTGTCTCCAATAACATTCTTAAGTTTACCCCTTTTTTTTTTTTTCCTATTATTGTTCTTTGTTGTGCTTTATCACCTTTGACCTGGACCACTACTACAACATCCTCCAAACTGCTTATCTTTAAACTTAGTCTCCTCAAATTTATTCTTTATTGTTGCCAAGTTTATTCTCTAGCACACATTTTCTATTTCTCATGCCAAAGTTAACAATGGTTTCCCACTGCTTAGTGAGAAAACCTGCAAGATCTCACCCTCCTTTATGATCTTCCTTCCTGGCTTCTCTGCCAGTCTCATCTCTTTCCCACAAAATCTGAAGTACCATTGTTAATGAATTACTCACAGTTCCCAGAACCCTGGCTCATGGTCTCTCTGCTCACCCCCCCACCCCCATAATTTTTCCCTTCTATAACTCATCCTAAATAATTTTCAGTGGTTTTCCACCCATTTATAGGAAATTCTAAATTTAATTCATGTCAACTTATGACCATTCCCACCATCTCGAGCTCTTCTACTTTCCCCCATCCCAAACTCTTTATTATAATATTACTTCTCTCCAGTGCAAATTGTCTTGTCAGAGCTCTGTGGAAATTCTGGAGGAATAAAACAAGTTGGTAGGAATAAAACAAGTTGGTTTGCAAAGATGTCAAAAGGAAGTAGAAATTGAGAAAGTACATACTGAATGCTTTTCAAAGTGTTCTGTAACCTGTGTTTTGCCTACCTGCTGAACGTTAACTTTAGCCAATATCTTCCTTAAAGCTCCAGCTTAGTGAATTACACTTCAGTCTCATCTCCAACTCCCATCCCTCCTTCCCTCGTCTTGTTGCTCATTTCAACCGTTTCCTTCTTCAGGTCTCAGTTGATATGCAACATCTTCAAAGAAGCATCCTTGACTCTATAACACTGTCTTTAGTGCACCCTGTTCTTACAGAATTTATCACACTATTGTGTACCTGACTGCCTACCTACTGGAGTATAAGCACTCTGAAGGCTAGGATTCTGTCTTATTTACTGCCATGTTCTTAATGACTAATTCAGTGTCTGGTAGGTGCCCAATTAATATTAGTTAAATGACTGACAGAGAAGTTAAATTTTTATAAGCAGGCAGGAAGGGGTAGAACATTCCAGAGAATAGGTCATGAGCAAAAGTGCTGAGTAGAACTCTTTATCACTACCATTTAATAGATGGAATGAAGCAAACTACCCAAAGTCACAACTTTTTTTTTTTTTTTTTTT